ATTCTACAGAAATATAACGTACATTAGCATTGCTATGATAATGGATGTTGTTTCTCTCTTTTCCCAACCATAACAATTTCTTGCTCTTTCAATGGTGAATTAATCTTTTTATGGAGATTTTTTGGTAGGTGTTTGTTTCAGTAGAGCAACTAAATATATTCTAGTGTTGCAGTGAGCTAGTCAGCATGTCGACCTTTTATTATTGATTTTTTTTTTCATGCCACTTTATGGTCAGGGGTTCCTATGAACAGACAATATGCGATCGTAAGTACTGTATGCTAAAAATGTTTGACAAGGTGTACTTGTCAATAAAACACCTAAAGCAAATACCATGTTATTTTCCATCTAGATATCCCAACAGGCCAGGAAGTGATATGACCCGCACTTACACATGCTAGCCCATATGAAACCCACGCCTGAGGGGGCATGCATAAATGGACATGACGCTTTTGACAATGCATGTCTCTTGGGTGAAAAATAGATAATCAAGTAAGTCTAGTGGAGAAAAATAATAGATAGACACCTTGACACTAGTAGCTGCTGAAGGCTGCATGATACCCGCCATGTAAACATCTCAAAGTCATCGCAATGAAGGTCATATGACAGCTATTTTGTTATATGATGAATGTAACTCGAAAGCATCTGCAAAGACCTTTCACGTCAAGTTTACGCATCTCTTCAATCAAATCTCACGTCAAAAGAAGTGAAAAGTAAAAAATTAGAGCTTTAATTCGCGATGCACAAATCATTTTTGAATAAACAAACCTTTAAATCATACCTATCTTCTTGTAATTCATCTGCAAGGTGAAACGCAGCAGGACATGACCCGCCTCAAAGACACAATGTGTATTTTTTTGCCACTGAAGTGACGGTATAGCACTCCCGCTCATGTCCTTTGATGGAACATCAATGGGGGGTGATTTATTTTCTAAAGATTGATGTTCAATCACAGCGTGTTTGTTTAGAGTGATGCTGTCTACTTTCCTGTGGCTACAGGCGGTTGTGAACAACTCATTGTGAGTCATCACCGGCTACACCGCCTGCTCTTATTACTGCGATACTGTAATTAGGCACATATACAATCTCATTGGCAATGAGAAAATGCACTTACTTTGCTAATGTCAAGATTTGATAGGTAGTGGGCGTTTTTGATGCACTAGCTGTCGGTAAAGTAATGCTTGGTCTTCCGAAAGTTTGCGCAAAGAGGTCGGACGTGGAGGCAGGTGAGTCGGAGACATAAAAGAAGTGGCAAAGCCTTGTTTGCCTTCAAGTATGTATGCAGACACAATCTGAAAATATAACAATTATGAACTTTGCTAAGCATAAGCATTGCTAAGTATTTTCTAAGTAGAAGCTAGCCATAGCAGGACTACCGCATTCGTTCAATCCACTGATGACTTTTGCGTGATCTTAAAGCAGTGTGCTAAATCTTTTATGACTTGCAGTATTGTTGACTTTTTAAATACATTTCTGTCAATCATTTTTGAGGTGCAATCTTGCGCAAACTAGCAGTAGCACCTCAATGCAGTACATGAGATCCACGGGGAGGAGTCGGATCAAGATCCAAGGGGTGGAGATGGGTAGGATTAGGGGTGGGTTTAGGGATCAGGGGGCGGAGATGGGTAGGTTTAGGTATATGTAAGGTGGGACGAGTTGGATCTGGATCCGACTCCTCCCCGTGGATTTCATGTTCTGCAGTGAGGACCATCTCCAAACTAGTTTGTATTTTAGTGTCCCTAGTACTGTAAGGCTTAGCTAACCAGCTCAAGATGATTGGGATGTTTAAATCTATTAGAAAGTAATAAATAATGACAATACTTTGCTGCACCGCCGTTACTTGAGTAACAACCAAGCGGCAATTCCAGTCTCTCTCTTGAATCCAACACGGAAGTGACTTAAACTGCAATTCATCGACTTGCCGCTAGAAACAGGCTCCAAAAGAGAGTCAATCCCATAGTTAATCCCATGTTAAAATGCCCATGTTTACAGCCGGGTACAAAAAGTGGTTTTGGTCTATATAGCTAACTTTGCCCGTCATGACAACTGTGAGGGGGGTGACGTCACGGACTCTGCGTCCATTGTTTTATACAGTCTATGGTAACAAGTCATTAGGTGAATGTGAGTTTTGTTAGCGACCATCTATTTAGTGAGATCTGACGTGTAGTCTTACTTTGTAGTTACGAAAATATCATCTGAATTTACTTGAAAGTATGGACTTGTACTTAGAAGGCTGTTTTGACTTCTTATCTTAAAGCTTTAAAGGGATAGTTTAATCAAACGTAAATTCCACAAGTTATGCTAGTACAAACAAACCCCTTACACACTGCTTTTATGATGAATCTTAGTTACGTAAGATCTCTGTGGCCTTGGATGCTCATAGCGTCCACATGAGAGAGAAAAAAATACATCTAATTATCTCGTTGAAACCTCAATAATCTTTCTTTCATCAAACTAAGTGGGATAATTGTCCTCGTGAGATAGAAATATTGAAATTTATCACATTGCTGCGAGGTATTTGCACAATAATTGGACTTGTTGAAACAGGTATTTAACTGCACAGCAGTTTGTCTGAAAAGGACTGATACTGCATAGGCGAAAAGCGAAAGATGGAGAGGTTGTTGTGACATAAACAGTCATAGCGAAAGGAAAGAGCTTGTCCTGTGAGATTTTAACTTGATGTTTGGGTCTTTCCTCGAGGGGTTCTGAGATAGACAGAGGAACTGGACTGGGAAATGAAGAATAAAGAGACGACAAGTGCGACAAGCGGGGGTGCAGAAAGAGAGTGAGAGAGGTCGACAAAATAACAGAAGGTAAATAACAAGTATGGTTGATTGCCACTGACAGCAATGAAGAGGTAAATATGAAGCCGTGTGCTAGTCAACACACTCACAAAACTGAGCACAGTTTGAGATGTTAACATCTCATCTGAAGCTCTACAGAAGACATATTTGAGATTTCAGAGCTCTTATTTTCAGGTGAAACACATGAGAAGCATTAGACTCCATTTGTTCTGCATTTAATCTCATTGCTGCCCAAGGAGAAACAGTTGAGACTTGAGATATTACAAAGAGATCTAATTTTTGCTTTGCTATCTATGTCTATAGTGTAGAGTTAGATATGCAGGTGTTTATCCATGTCGTAAGTCTGGCTTAGGTCTTATTTTCAAAACATTATTTTTTCATGCATTCCGACTGTCCGTGCTTTCTTTTTTTTATCTTGTTTGTCGTTCAGATACTCACTTCCTGTCTGTCGTAGACTTATGTTTCCTCCTAAATCCCATCCATCGCTCCCTCTCCATGTGGTCACGGCTTTCTGCTTCGCATTGATTGCCAGCCACGCTGGATCGAAACATCATTTTTATCTTTGCTCTAGCTCGCTCACATCCACTTCCGTCCTGCCCTGCTTGTTTTCATCTGCTTTTGAATAATCACAACTGACCTCTGTCATATATCGCTGTTCTCAAACATACACATCCTGTCTGTCTGTCTGTCTGTCTGTGTCTGTCTGTCTATCTATCTCTGTATGTCTGTCTGTCTATCTATCTATCTGTCTGTCTATCTATCTATCTATCTATCTATCTATCTATCTATCTATCTATCTATCTATCTATCTATCTATCTATCTATCTATCTATCTATCTATCTATCTATCTATCTATCTATCTATCTATCTATCTATCTATCTATCTATCTATCTATCTATCTATCTATCGTGGAAATAAATGTAGATCAATGTCTGATAAATCCATTCGATAAACTAAGATGTCAAAGAGGAAATTACTTGTGGCCACTTCGAAATAATATTTTTTTTCCGAATAAAACAGAGACACAGCTTGTCCACGCCCTGATACTTATACAGTACTTCTTATTTTACATCTTTCGATCTCTCTTATCTGACTTTCTGAATTCCTTTCATATCTGTCTGCCTTATTCAAATGACATCATACGTCATATCCAATTTCTGTTTCCTGTCTTTATCTCACTTTTCATCTAATAATAGTTTCCTCTTCATCTCCTTCTCTCTCTCTGTCTTTAGAAAGAGTCTGGATGGGTCGATGAAAGATGATATGATGTGAAGCGCATATGTGTAAAGTCGTTTTTTCTGTGGTTCAGTGGTTTTTCAACTATGATCACTTTTGGCACTGATTACTAATTATCCTTAAAACAATTTCACACTCACTATTTTGTTTATTGAATTCTAACATGTCCATGTCCAACAGTGTATGTTTCTACACCTCAAATTGTTTTTGGCAATGTTCTCTGGAAATAGCATTATACATTTTTTTTGGGGAATAAAATGGTAAACCATTTTTTTCTCACAAAGCCTAATTTAATTGCTAGCATAGTATATATCCTAAATACACACAATTAAATAATGTTTATATTTGTTTATATATATACAAAAATAAAAATCAGCAGTTCATTAGTAGAAACCAGATTGGGTGTACAATTTCCTGTAGTTGCAGAAACACCCAGTTAGAAAACTTTGTTTAAACTTAAATTCTCTCACCTCAATGACATGTTTATTGGTATTGGCGTGTGGTGGTATAAAAGATTTAAAACAAAATGGTCCAGTCTATTTTTTCAGTGGGAGTGTTCTGCTGGAAAGGCAGTATACTTCCATTTGTTGGTATGAATAGTCTGGTTTCACCACTGAGAATCTGTCTCTTTCCTTTTTTTTCATTTATATATCTTACTGCTACTGATCAAGTATTCATTTTGATCAAAGCATTCTCATCTGCCGTCTAAATTTCAAATCTTTTCATGTTTGCTGCCAGACTTGATTGTATGTGCTTTTGTACTCTGGAAAAATCACGGCTTATATGTTGAAGAAACAGTTTTGACGGCCTTTTGCAGTTGACAAATCTTTAGGCCATAGAATGAAGTGTGTCTGTGTGTGCACGATAACAAAATGGGATCACTTGGAATGTTGCATGCAATTTGTTTGTTGAATGTCATCAAATTTTTCTTTTCATGTTCTTTTCCTCCATTTTTCCCCAGTGGACTTTCACAGAAGATTTGGGTGTTTTGAATGCAGGGTCTTCCCTGATTGGTCGTGAGGTTCTAAGTGGGTAAAGCTGCTACTGTGGCATTACTGACCATTGGATGTGAAAAGTGGCAGCAGGGTCGCACTGAAGAAAGAAGCCTTTGGATCCATCCAAAATATCCTAAACACAGAGGGGAGTTCAAATTTCACCTTGAATTCTGATTTATAAGAGTGAAAAGGTAAGAACTTTTAAATGCCACAAACTTCTTAAAACTTTAAAGTGAATTGATGTTATTGCTCAAAAACACCAGAACTAATTTGTGCAAAAGTTTGCTAGATCTCGTTCTTTTCGTTTTTCTGTGTGTAGCACCTGCATATCGTTTTGTGTGTACAGTAGCAGCCCATTCTCAACCCAAGGCGTCATCAAAGTGACCATGCTTCAATATTCGACGCTTTAGGCACCCTTTAGCGTCAGTTACATGACGCGATCCTAGGGCGTCATCTTACTGACGCTTTTCCATTTAGCGTCATGTAACTGACGCTTCCTACCCCAGACCTAAACCTATGGGATGATTATAGTATCAAAATGATTAACACGTGCAAGCACACTTATTAATGAACTTGATACATGTTGCAGAAATGTTTTATCCATGCCTTTCAACTTGTGTGTGCAAAATTCAAAATTGAATGAATGTGAAGCAATTTGTACAAATAGAGAAATTTTTGTGAATACAAATGTTTTCCTTTGTATTAGTGTATCATAATTTGCACATGCAACACAGAAGACGTGCATGTGTGGATCAGGTGACGCGCGTGCATTCATTGACTCGATTCATTGAGTCGATCCTATTTGATTCATTTGGATTTTGAGACTTTCATTTCGCGGGTTTCGCCTTGCACGATCCACACACAGCTGTCTGAGAAAAGCTGCTACCACTAGATGGCAGTATTCTGCTGAAACAGACAACGGCAGCATAATCAAGCGTTCTTCCGCATTTAAGACGCTTAATGAGAGTGATATTGAAGCACCAAATTTAGTACACAATAATATAGGCCTACCCTATTAATAAAGCATACTTTATAGAGGCAAACATTACGTCAGATTATGAACAACACCCATAGAAAACCATTATAAAACGCTTAACGTGCAATCGCGCGTTGCATGTTCAGTAAGGTGTATTGGCTACTGAGTTTAAATATCACCGTCTTACTGCATTGACGTTAAGCTTTTTCTTTATAATATGCTCTATGGGAGGAAAACTATATAGCCTACAGACAAGAGACTACATGAACGCAATGTACGGCGTTTCAAGTTAATAACATTTTCCTTCCCGAGCCTGTTAAAAAGAAAAAGCTTAACATGAAATAAAAATTCTGCAGTTGCGTTTAACTTTGCATGTGAATGGGAGAGCAACCGGTCCGAGAGTGCAGTGAAGTTTGATATTCGCCTCATTTTATAAAGGGACCATCTGCAAACTCCACTCACAGTCAAAAAAATATAAACGTCCAGTCATTCATTCAAATGAACATATTTCCAAGGTTATATTATAACCTTGGAAGTCTAGTGGGCAGACTGACTTAGCCTACTGTTACTGTACTATGTCCAGCCAATATCTCGATTGAACAGTAGCCTACAATTTTTTAATTTACTGTAAATTGTTTTTCTATTCATGTTCCAAAGGTTGTAGTACGTTCCTAGTGACAAGTCAGGTGAAATTTTACATTATTCACTTGTAGTAAGTCACCAAAAACCCGTTTGGTTAATTACAGTAATTTTTTTATAAAATAATAATTGTTTACTAAATAGGCTACATGAAGGGAGTTATTGGGGCAATTTCACCTGTAGTAAGCCAGTCTAGTCACTGAACATACTACAACCATTTTGAACATGAAAAAACCCTTTTGGTGAATTACAGTATTTTTCTGCAGAATACAGGCTACATGAAGGGAAGTATTGTCCAAATTTTACTTGTAAGTCAGTCTTACAGAAACCTTCTACGAGCTTTGGAATTTGAAAATGTCTGTTATTAAATTTAAAAAGTAATTTGAATTAAAACAAATTATACGTTTTAACCACTGATCTATATAGAATGACATTATAGATCAGTGGTTTTAACGCAGTGGAATTGGCAGACGTTCCCTTGTGCATCATGAGCTGTGGTTAGCGCGTCAAAGCATTCTCATGTAGAAATATGCAGCTACAGGCCGCTACGCCAGTTGATTTTCAATTAATATTTCATGTCGATATACAATGGTTGCATATTGTTAAAACTCATCGTGCTATAGTAAGACTATAGCCTATGGCTTAAGGGTCAAGGGAAAACAAATGTAGCCTACTGCGAAAATCGTCTTTAATATTTAAAAACAGACATTTTCAAATTCCTGCTTGTATACTATGTACACAATGTGTAGTCAGATAAAAATAAGCATATAATATGAACGCAACTGCGAAATTTCACCTTTTTTTAACAGGAAGGAAAATTGTATTAACTTGAAACGCCGTGCGTTGCGTTCATGTAGTCTCTTGTCTGTAGGCTATATAGTTTTCCTCCCATAGAGCATATTATAAAGAAAAAGCTTAACGTCAATGCAGTAAGACGGTGATATTTAAACTCAGTAGCCAATACACCTTACTGAACATGCAACGCGCGATTGCACGTTAAGCGTTTTATAATGGTTTTCTATGGGTGTTGTTCATAATCTGACGTAATGTTTGCCTCTATAAAGTATGCTTTATTAATAGGGTCGGCCTATATTATTGTGTACTAAATTTGGTGCTTCAATATCACTCTCATTAAGCGTCTTAAATGCGGAAGAACGCTTGATTATGCTGCCGTTGTCTGTTTCAGCAGAATACTGCCATCTAGTGGTAGCAGCTTTTCTCAGACAGCTGTGTGTGGATCGTGCAAGGCGAAACCCGCGAAATGAAAGTCTCAAAATCCAAATGAATCAAATAGGATCGACTCAATGAATCGAGTCAATGAATGCACGCGCGTCACCTGATCCACACATGCACGTCTTCTGTGTTGCATGTGCAAATTATGATACACTAATACAAAGGAAAACATTTGTATTCACAAAAATTTCTCTATTTGTACAAATTGCTTCACATTCATTCAATTTTGAATTTTGCACACACAAGTTGAAAGGCATGGATAAAACATTTCTGCAACATGTATCAAGTTCATTGATAAGTGTGCTTGCACGTGTTAATCATTTTGATACTAAAATCATCCCATATAAACCTACCCGCGTCATGTAACTGACGCTAAAGGTAAAGCGTCAGTAAGATGACGCCCTAGGATCGCGTCATGTAACTGACGCTAAAGGGTGCCTAAAGCGTCAAATATTGAAGCATGGTCAAAATTGTCATTTAGTGACGCCTTGGGATGAGAATGCGTTGCAGGTAGTTGCAGAAAGTCCCTGATTATTAATCAGCTTTTGCAAAGAGGCTTGCATCTGAATGATGTGGCAATTAATGATATTGGAAACTGTTGTAAACAGTTTGTGTATAACGCAGTGTTTCTTTGAAAAAAGCTGCAGTCATATACGAAGAGTTTAGCAAATTTGTTCTAGTTTTCCATCTTCTCCCTGGTCTTTATGTAAAATTTTGGTAAAAATATTTGCTAGCACTGACTGCACTTAATTAAATATTTTAAAAATGATGACATGAAACCTGATTGCTTTACAATTTTGAGTTCATTGAAATAAAACATTTGAGTTAAAACAATGAAGGAGATTGGTTTAATCAACAAAAACTCAAAATATTATGTTATCTAAAACACATAAATGATCTAAGTTGATTTGACAAAAGAAAAAAAAATGTTGATAACAAATCATGATTTTTTTATTTTATTTACAGTGTAGGAATAGACATAGTAAATAATTCTACAGTAGTTCTGATCCAGTGGCTTAAATATGTACCGTTTTAATCAATAATTTCTATGTAATGATTTGAAGGTTATTTTATTATATATATATATATATATATATATATATATATATATATATATATATATATATATATATATATTGTATAATAAATATATTGTAATAAGGTTTATTAGCAGGCATAATCTACATTGTCTTCAAAAGCTTTTATAAAAACGATATAAAAATCTTTTTTTCCCAACTGGTTCTTGATTTCAAGCCCTACTGATGAATGCACACAGCTGTGCCAGCATAAAATATTTTTAGCCAGGATGTAATCATCCCAGCCAAAGGTGCAATTTGCTTGGCTATGGGTATGTTGTATTGCCTCATCTCTCTCTTTGTCATTATCTTTCTATTTGTCAGACAGTCAGGTGATAACATTTTGTCTGATGCTCAAAACAAACAGACACTCTTACTCAGAAATCGCCAGACAGTCCCTGCTGTTCTCCTACTGTGTTTTCTATTCTGACTCTGAGGTCCAACTGAAAAAGTCTGCCATCCAATGGGGGACTGTTTCTGAACTTGAGTGTGTGTATGCGTGTTGGTGTTGAGTGTGTTTGGTACAATTTGGCGTGTAGTGTTACAATAAACCCATTCTTCTTTAATAAAGAAAAATGTGTTAAACTTTTTTTCAGCAATATAACGTCCAATAAAAACCATTCTGTTTCTTGTTCCAATGACAGCCTGCAGAATGGCAATAAAAAATTCAGTTAAACCAAGAGCAAAAACCCTAATATACCTCATATATCCCCATTGTATGTAATGCTAGGATTAACTTACGCTCTCGTGATGGCAGTAATGGCTTGTAAAGCGGAGGTAAACATTTCACATGAGCGAGAACCCCAAATTAGTTCATTTTCTGCTGTGTGATATAGTGCTTTTCCACATTTTTCTTGATTCACAGTGGTTCCAGAAGGCAGGATTTATTTGCTTGTCTTTAACTCCAGTTGTTTCGAGGGGTTTTCTTTTGTTTGTAGCTTATCCTGAGGGTTTAGAACCAAAGGGCCAGTCATTGTAGGGTAGCCGTCAGTCAGTCCAAAATTCAATAACTTCATTTGTACATGCAGCAAATATATTCACTCAGTCCCCAAGGCCAAGAGAGAATTGCTGAAAAGAAAAGCATGCTGATCAGATTTTTATCCTATTTATAGACTATTATGATTCAAAGTGACTTATGGTACACTTACTACAGGGACAGTAGAATAACAAGTGGGCAGAAAACGGAAGGGTTGTTGGTTGTTTGTGTCTCTGCAAGGGTCATTTCGTTTTTTTTCGCCATTGATTCTTGCTCCAAATTGTGCCGAAG